TAAATATATTTATTTCGTCAAAAAAAAATTTTTTAATACACTTTAGCCCCCCCAAAAATAAATTTCTGGCTCCGTCCCTGCCTCAGACACAAATTCATGAATAAAGTTTTTGGAACGTCAAATCCGACTGTTTGTTACATTCGCATTGGACAGTAATAAGCCACTCAAATCATCTTTCTGGTGATTTATTATTGGGATTAAGGACTTTCTTCTTTTATTTCCGTAATTATAAGTCTCTTTCCTACCCACGCATGCTAACTTATTTAGATCATAGCAGCTGTCCTTCAAATCAATTAGGGTTATTATCACTTTATCCCCTAAACTATATTATATTATTAATTTATCTCCTAACGTTATCTTTCAGTCATTTCACCCCTAAAGTTAATTCAACTCAGCATGCTGACAAAATTTAGACAAAATATTCTTTTATTTTATAGCATTATTACATTATTGTTATTATCACTTTATCTCTTTAAGTTATAGTGATATAATCGTTTTATTCCCTAAAATTATTTTTAGGCAACTATCTTGCTCGGAAACTCTAAGCTCATTCTTAAAGTGCAATTTTTCACTTCTGGTCGTAACGCAACTGAAATTCTGAACGATAACTGACGAAATGATTTGATGAAATTCTTTCGACTGCCAACCACATAGACGTGATGATCTGGAGCGAAGATGACCAAAAAAAAAAGGAAAAAAATTAAGGATAATTGCATTGCTTTATAAGTACAAAAGAAAAAGAAAAACGACAGAGAGTTAAGTATATATGATTATACCACTCCTGTGTCGACAAAAAAAAAAAAAAAATCCTGAATGTCTGGCATTTAATCCCATGAAAGAAACAGAAAGACTATTGGTCGCCCAGTTATTAAAACGGTAAGTAATGCACTGCACATTCATTCAGCATCCATGCAATCACGTTGTATCCTATTATTCATTCATTTGCCTGTATTTACTTGTTGGGGTGAGAACGAAAAGGAAGAAGAAGAAGATCTCCTCGGTCGATTGGACCGGTGAAAGACGCAGACACGTCTTCATCTGTTGGTCGAATCAAAGCTCCAACCAGAAAACAAAAAAGGAAAAAAAAAAAGAAGAAGAAATATTCTCCTGGTCAGAAACAAAAGCAACGTCCCATTATTCCATGTAGTATTAGACGTTTCAGCCGAATCCCTCCCTCCATCATTCTACGATAAAAAGTCCCGCTGACGATGCACTCAGTACTAGTGGCAATGGCTTAGGAGCTGGAAGGAAGCACCTACCCATTGCACTCACGGGCAATCCAAGTAAATTCTCCGCTCAAAGCAGAATTAATTATACGGGCAAATTTGGTCAAAAAATGGACAAACAAAATTATGTCCCAATTCCGTTTCTTCTTCTTTTTTTTTTTTCCCTGCTTTTAAAATCGATAATGTAGTATGTATCTGTGTAACTAATGAAGGTAAGCAAATTAAATGCGATAGCGGAAAGAATTTAAGCAAGAAAAGAAGGGTTATTATCACAATACCCTATTAAACTATATATCATTACTATCAATTTACCCATTATCTTTTAGTCATTTCATTTTCATAGGTAATTCAATTCAACATATTAACAAATTTTGGACAAAAAAACTCTTTTATTTTATAGCATTATTACATTGTTATTATTACTTTATCCCTTTAAATTACAGTGATACAATCATTTTACTTCCTAACATTATTGTTTAGGCATGTTACCCCATCATTAATCTAATCAGTATGATCTAAAAAATTTTAAAACTTTTTACCCTTCTTTATATATAATTAAAAATAAAAAATAGTTGGAATGATTATTCTTCCTTTTTTCACTTTAAGAGTTTCAAAATTACAAAAATAATTTTTTTATCAAATTCCTCTTTTCACACTTATTAATACTAGAAAAAAAAAAGTGATAGGAGAGGAAACAAAAAATTAAATTTTACAAAGAAAGAAAATAAAAAAATATAATATTATTGTATTACTTTAACGTGAAATTTGGTGGTAAACAGAAAAGCAAAATAATTTTAAAATAATAAAAAATATTGAATTCTTTCTAACTTGTATTAAAAAAAGAATTGAACTCTCTCTCTGTCTCTCCCCCTTTTCTCCCTATCTTTCAATTTTTTTTAATATTAATAAGATTGCTAAAAAGAAAGAGATTAATGCTTTAAATTTTTTTTCTTGATACTAAAAAGGAGAAGAGCCACTTTAAAATTTTTATTATGTTTATTATAAAACTTTAAAATTTTTATTATGCTTTAAAATTTTATTATGTTTATTACAAAGAGGAGGGTACTTCCTCTAAAATTTTTTGACTTGTTAAGTTGATTTAATGGTAAACTAAGTTGATCAAAAATAAATCTACGGGTAAATTGATAATAAAATTATAGTTTATGGGGAAGAAGTGATAATAATTTTAATAACTAAATCTGTCTTTTTACTTGAATTAATAAATTTCATTAAATTTAACAGTTGATTTTGATGGTAAAATGACTAAAAAATAATATGTTAAGAAAAAATTGATAATAGCATTAAACATCGCTAAGGGTAAAGTGAGATTAATCCAAAAAAGATGCATATAATGATATGAGTAACAGCGGAGTCTAGTCTATCTGATAATGAAGGTACGTACGTGATGGGCAAACGGGACCCAGCTGATCATCAAACAATCATGGAGAGCGGGAAAGCGGTTTTGCCAAAATATTGTGGGCTGCCCAGCTGCTCTTTTTCCCAAGAACTGAAAGAAACTCACACACACACACTCAACTAGAACAAAAATAGGAGTAACCCGAAAGAGCGACCCGAAGTACTGCCCTGCTGCTCGCCCTGGAGTTATTGGTCTCTCTTGTTTTCTGTTTGCCAAATGATGGCAACAATTGAATGATTACTTGATATCATTAGAACTTATACTGTTAATAACATAAATGTTAATGGGAACGGTACACTTATTTGTGTGCAGATTTAAAATGAAAAAAAGTTATTGAGTTGTAGGTTTTTCCAGATATGTGCATGGAAGTACTGTGTTTTTTTTCTTCCAATTGGAATAAGAAGTTGTTGGCATTTGTCACTTTAGTGGATGTTTTGTTAGACTTGAAAAACAAGTGTATAAATGTGATAGAGTGTACCTATTCATGGGAGAGGACAATACCATTTTGCTTTTTATTTGAAGGGTAAAATAGAATTATAAAGAATGAAACAAAAAGAGAGGAGGTGTTGGATTGGTTGGTAAGGTTGAAAGAATGGTAAATTTGAGGTTTTGTATTCCAAACCTCTCACTTATGGAAAAAAAAAAACTCCTCTCTCTTTCTATATTGTTATCATTTGCTGGTTCAATAGATTATTTAATTTCTAAAATTATATAATTTTTTGGATCTGTCTGACGGGTGTCCATTGAACATTCATTAAGATATATTTTAGTGTTATCGAGCACCAATAAACACTCGTTAAAAAAATCCTAATTTTTTTTATCATTACTATTGCATTATTGAATGATACAGCAAGAATTTGTTGTGGATTACAATCATGGGTATAGTATTTTTCAAAAGAAATGGTAGAGTTTTTCAATGAGATATAATGTTATGTATCCCCATATGATTTTAGAAATTTAAATTATGGAATGATATGATAAGCGTTTACTAAATTTTTTACAATAATGGGGATGGTATTCAAAAAAAGTTGTAGAATTTCCCTAAGTTTTAATTTGGAAATAACTGCAACAAACATAACATGATATGCATGAATTTCAACTCATTTTGTTGTCTGATTTAACCCACAATTCGACAGAAATAGGAATTTTGTTCTGTTACCATCTCTATCATTTCTTTTCCACCCCATCCGTTCTGAAAAAAAAGAAGAAAAAGTAGGAAAGCCAGCGGTGGATGCCTGATGGAGAGAAACCGTTCTAAAGAATAAGGGAGGTTGGGATGGGAATGTAGGACGCCGTGGTTTTGCTTCTGAATTGGCGTGATGGGATTGGAATCGGAATTGGAATAAGGCCGTACAAGTGTAATCTAAAAGAATATGGCGATCCTGTCTGGGAGACGCAGTCTTGTCACCATCCGTGAGCATAGTTACTACCAATGAGGCGCCAAAAGAAAAGGTGAACCTTTAGATGTTGCTTTTCGTTCTCAAAGGCCTTCTTCTTCAATTAAATGTGGTTTGTAACTAGCACAATATTGCAGTTGACTTCCAATTTTCATATCTTATAAGAGCTGAGATACATATATAGTTGATTGATTACCATTTCTTCTTGAACATATGTCTAACAGGATTGATCTATTCTTGGTTATTTGTTGTTTATTGATCTATTCATTTTTCATTGATTTATTGAATCAAAAAGCATTGCTTGACAGGCTAGCTGGTGAATTATTGCGTTAGTCCTTCAGTGTTGTCAGGAAGTTACCCCATCTCTTGGTTTAAAGTTCCACTTCCTTTGGAAGGTGCAGGTGCTTCACAATCTGTTTTGTTGTTGCTTTCCCTTCTCTCTCGCTTGGCCGGAAAAGGCAAAGATGGCGGTGGATGTATATTCCCTTCGTTGCTGCGAATATTGCTATTGTGTCAGATCTGTTTCATACGCTTCAACATTGGAATTTGAACGTTTTTTCTCCCTCGACCGAGTGAAGTGAAAATGGACCATTTGAGGAGTTACTGGCAAAATCAAAAAGTTCCACGCCCACACACTACACAGGCAGGTGGTATTTTGGGTTCAAAGACAACCAAGCCAAGTACCATCAATTTGCTACACAACATATATATGTAAAGAGTGAAATATCACCTCGAATTAAGGATTTAAATACAGGGATTTACGCTGATATATTATTGTTTTCCTGATGGATTCCAGAAGACCTTAATTAATTTGTAGTAGTTTCAACTTGACCCTTTTTTTGGGGTGCTGATAACCTTTCAATGAATTTTCAGAAAGACTATAGTGTCCCCAAATATGGCAAAATCATGCAATCAGCACCCTTACTTTTTGGTGTAGTGGCATATTGTTACCTCTGATCTGGATGATAATTCATTCCCGGCAACCAAGCCAAGCAAAGCATGAGCAATCTATTAGGCTTGCAAACATCCCTCTTCACCACCTTCTTCTCATTTGCCCCAGAATTACCCTTAAATCCCCCCAAAATTTCCACCACGTCCTCTTCCCTTCTTCTTCTACCCTGGGAGCTTTCCCACATTCCCAAATCCAAGAAATTCATACCAACAAACACTTCCATAACCAGTAAGTAAAACACACATAAAAAGTCATTCTTTCCACCAAAGATGTCTCTTTTATTGGTTTTAAAATTCTGGGTTTACGGTATTAATGGGTCTTTCTCTTTTTTCCCTTTTTTCCATTTTGGGTTCAGGGACTCTGGTGAGTAGTGTGTCTAGTGAATCCGTACAGGAAGTAGTTGACGTTGAAGTTGCAGATGGCCTGACAATGACCCAATTTTGTGACAAGATTATCGAACTATTCTTGAATGAAAAACCCAAGTCAAAAGATTGGAGGAAGTATTTGGTATTTAGGGAAGAGTGGAAGAAATACAGGGATAGGTTTCACAGTCGGTGCTTATCTCGAGCTGATGCTGAAAATGATTCTGAAATGAAGCAAAAGCTGATTACTTTATCAAGAAAAGTGAAGAAGGTATTTGATGAATTTCATCATGCTTTTCTTTTTTCTTTTCAACTGAGATTGAGGCATGTTGTAATCAGTTTTGAGTATTGAAACTAATCGGTATTGAGTATTGCAGATTGATGATGAAATGGAAAGGCATACTCAACTTCTTAAAGAGATTCGAGATAGCCCCTTGGACTTGAATGCAATCGTTTCTAAAAGGCGCAAGGATTTCACTGGGGAGTTTTTCCGCTATCTTACTCTGCTTTCCGAGACATGTGATACTTTGGAAGACCGGGATGGTAAAAAGTTTTGCATTTTGTGCGTCTAAGTTGCTAGAATGAAATAATTTGATGATCTAAACAACTGACAGAAATTTAGGAGTGTCATTTATCTATTTGTCGTTTTCAATTCAAACAATCTGTTAATTGTTATTATGAAACAGTGAGCTGTGAAACATGTCCTACTGCGAAGAGTTATGTTTCTTTGTTGCTCCATTCATCATTAAGACTTGAGAGGATAAATTAGAAGGTTTGGTTTGTAATGATCTTATAAGCTAGATGTTTATTTAGACAAATAGGTAACTAACTTCCTGACATTTTAGCTACCTGATGGTTATTTTAGGACTGCTTGTGTTGCTGCATCTCAATTGCTGAATTCTAGTTATTAGGTTCTTTATTCTGACAAAAAATGGACGATGGACTTGTGCATACTGTTACTAGGTCAGATAAACTTGTCTATTGTTAGATGACAAACATATTCATATTGATTTATGCTGACTTAGGAATCCCATGGGATATACTGATACAAAATTAATGTCAAGTTCAGTAAAGTTTGAATGGAAAACAAGGTCCTTGGTTCTCGTCTTATTGGTATTCTTTTGACTTGGAACTTTCCCATGTAAAGAGTGCAAAAGCTTCAACCCCTTGAGATTTCTGAGCTTGGTCTAGTCTCCAGGCACCTCTGTTTGTATATTGTTCAAAACAGAAGTGCAATCAAGTTTGAACAGCTATAGTCATTCTTATATATCGTACAATGCCCACTAATGATTTCATCTAGCTTGCAAGCATCTATCATTAAATTAGTTAATTCTTAGTGGCATGATACTTCATCACAACATAAACTAACATGATGCGTTTCATTGTGTTTGGGCCAAGGTGGGAGGGGATGGGGATTGTTCTTGTATAAACAGAAGCAAAATAATGCCAATTTTCTGTATAAACAGCATTGGCTAGACTTGGGGCTAGATGCTTGTCAGCTGTCAGTGCTTTTGATAACACCCTGGAGAATGTGGAGACATTAGATTCTGCACAAGCGAAATTTGATGACATCTTGGGGTCAGTGTCAGTGAACGCGGCATGTGAAAAGATCAAAAGTCTTGCCAAGGCAAAAGAACTTAGCCCTTCATTGATCGTATTGATAAACAGTGCTTGGGCATCGGCAAAGGAGTCCCCTACAATGAAAAATGAGGTATGAGCATTGGTAGGTCGCTAAACGAAGTTCAGTGATATTTGAAATTTAAATTGCACATCCTCCTGCTTATTCCTGGCTTTTAAAGTGACTTCCACTTAGATTTTATAACGGCAATTGAACTTACTTGTGCCAATCTTGCCAAGGGAGTCACTTGAAAGTCCAAACTCCCTTGAATTAACACATGTGGTAAACTTACTGCTATTTAAAAGACCAGAGGTAAATTTTTACACTCGTTGCAGTTTTACATGCAGTGATTGATGTTATCAACCCAATTTTGTCCCCACCACACCCAAAGGATTAGGATTGTCTTTACCCTGCTTAATTTGAAGTGTCACTAGTTTAAGCCTGCAATATATGGAGATATCAGTCCTAATCGTTCGTAATCCAAGATCTTTTCTTGTCTCCATATTTGTCAAGTGTTTCCTGGCTATTATTTGTTTAAGTGTTTATTCAATATTTCAGCGTCCTTGACTTGGACCGTGGTCTTGGCTAATACAGGTGAAAGATATAATGTATCGCCTGTACAAGGCCACTCAAAGTAGTCTGAGGAGTATGGCTCCAAAAGAAATAAATCTACTTAAGTATTTGTTGAACATCATCGACCCTGAAGAGCGATTTTCGGCGCTGGCCACAGCCTTCTCCCCTGGGGACGAACATGATATGAAGGACCCAAAAGCTATATACACGTAATAGAGCTCTACATTTCTTTCTTTGAGGTTGTGATAATATTATGTGATCTTTTGCTTCTTTCTAAGTTGACAATATTTGGCATTTCTATCTTTTTCTCCCTTTTTTTTTTGGACGGGGTGGGGCAGTACTCCCAAGGAGCTACACAAGTGGATTAAAATCATGCTTGATGCTTACCATCTGAGCAAGGAAGAGACTGAATTAAGAGAAGCGCAGCAGATGAACCAGCCTGTTGTTATCCAGAGACTTTTCATCCTAAAGGAAACAATCGAAGAGGAATATTTAAGTCAAGAAGGCAAAAGAGAGAGAGATGATAAATCAGAGGAGTTGTGAGAAAGCATCCCATCTGTAGATATCATCACACCTACATTAAGCCAGAAGATCTGCTCATGTTGTCGAGTCATCAAGCGCAATTCTGAAATCTTCTCTTGTATCTCAGTGTACCTGGTTAAATGCTGTAGCCGCCAAATGCTGTTATAGTGTTATGTATCACATCATAGTAACTTTTGGCAAAAACTTAGGTAGAACTGGTCTTGGAGATCACGTGACTCAAATTTTATCACTTATTCCATTCTTGGATTAGTGAGTTGGCGTAACGATATTGAGATCACATGCTCTACATAAATCGGGTCTACCCAAGTGTTTGCCATAACGTCATCCAGCGGGTTGAGGTACTTCAATAAATTGTTTACAATCACATGCAGCAGTTTGTATAGTCATGGGTTACTGGACTCCCTTTGATTTTGAGAAAATATTTATAAGCTATGGAGAAACACTTGCTGTTAATAAATTCAATACTTGGTTGTCATGATGGATGGTTCATGGAAGACGAAGCACAATTTTGCCTTGTAAATTTTAAGCACAGTACTAATAAAGAGATGAGTAACGAATGTTGCGTCGATCATTTTGAAGCGCTACCCCAAAAATAAAAAGCTGCTGTAGGTAACCTTACCGTTATAGGAAATCGGGTCGGGGGTAGCCTCGTGGTTCGGGTTGAATCCAACCCATTGCCACCAGTAACGGGTTTGACTTTTTTTTTTTTTTTTCCAACCTTCAGTAGCCTCTCCCCCAAGCAAAACACAAGCATTTAGGTGTCCTCGTAAACGACATGGGCAGCCTTAAACCCTATACCCAATCTCAGGCTTAAACCCTACATGTAGCTTCCGTCCTCCAGAACAAAGAACGTAGTTCTACTTCTACCAAGGAACAACATACACCAAATCTCCGCTAACATGGCCACTTCGATACTCCTGCGGTCGGCCCTTAGGCGCCCGGAATTGCATACTTCTGCTTTAGCTGCTTCGAGATCCGTGAGTTTCTTCCCTCTTTCTTGATCACCACATATGTCTTTACCTCCGGTGTCAATGCTTTCTGTTTGTCTTATATTTCTTTGTCTTCTTTTTCTTGCACACGATGATATATATGCGTATTGCGGACAGCTCTGGTTCCTTTTTTTTTCTCTTTTTTCTTTTTTTTTAGTGTTGAAATCTTGTTTTAATTAATTAAGTTTTATATTTAATACAATGTTTTCTGTATGAAAAAAGGATATCTCTTCTGAGGCATCCAAAACGAGAAATAAAGACCCTCAGTTACTGAGCTATATTTTGATTCTACTCTGTTGTTGGTATCAAAGATGAATGAATGGAACATAATTTGCTAAAGTTTGAATTTTTCTCTTACGGAATTGGGAAAGACTGCAATTTTTGTGGTAAGTTTCATGTAGCTTATTGGGACTTGTAATTCTTAAACAGTGGATTGTTTAATTAGGCTTTATGAGAAACAATAATCAGCTGGTTGGCAGATCTAATTGGTTTAGCCTAGTTCGTTCTACATGAATTAGTTGTTATTTGCATGCTCTTCGGTTACTCTTAGGCCTCAATCTTTTGTCCTGTTACTGTTAAGCTAGTGCTGGTTTTTGAGCATGGTACTTGGGATTGTTCCCGTGATAATCCGTTCAAATAACAGATTGTAATAATAAGCAGATCTGAGGAGTTTCCAAGAATTGATGTTTGTATTTGTCTGAAGATTATCATGTATACTTTTGCTATTGCAGTTGGTGGGAAATGTTAGGGCATCCCCTGCTACCTCTCCTTTGTCAAGGATGTTGACTAGTCTCAGATACTTCAGGTAACCACAACCTGGCAACAGCTTGATTTCTGCCTTTTGAACTTTCCTGGTCTGCTAATGCGTTTTCCATTTTTCCATCTTAAGTTCAAGGCCACTAGCTGATGATGTCATTGGAATTGACCTGGGTACCACAAATTCATGTGTTGCACTTATGGAGGGAAAGGTTTAGTTCTTCTTTCTCATTTGACTTGGTACTTCTTTAGCCTTGCAGAATAACTTGCATGAGCCGTTTCACTCATTGCTCACTAATGATTGGTGTAGACTGCCAGAGTTATTGAGAATGCCGAAGGAACCCGAACCACCCCATCTGTAGTTGCTTTTAGCCAGAAAGGAGACTTGCTTGTGGGAGCTACGGCAAAACGTCAAGCTGTGACCAATCCACAAAATACACTTTTCGCCACTAAACGTTACATAGGAAGGCGTTTTGATGATCCTCAGACACAAAAGGAATTGAAAATGGTGCCTTATAAGATAGTCAGAGCACCTAATGGAGATGCTTGGGTTGAAGCTAATGGACAAACGTACTCTCCCAGCCAGGTTGGAGCATTCATACTTACTAAGATGAAAGAGACCGCCGAATCTTACCTTAACAAAAGTGTGAACAGAGCTGTAATTACGGTTCCAGCCTACTTCAATGATGCTCAAAGACAAGCTACAAAGGATGCTGGGAGGATAGCAGGTCTTACTGTGGAAAGAATAATTAATGAACCCACTGCTGCTGCACTTTCTTATGGAGTCAACAACAAGGAAGGGACAATCGCAGTTTTTGATCTAGGAGGTGGTACTTTTGACATTTCCATTCTAGAGATATCAAATGGTGTCTTTGAGGTAATCATCAATCTTTACATGTTATTACCAAGGGGGGAAAAACTCTCTTTACATGTTTTATGTGATCTGCATCTCCTTTATGTGTCTTATGTTGGTTGTTTAAACGTCTGCAAACAGGTAAAAGCAACTAATGGAGACACATTTTTGGGAGGAGAGGATTTTGACAACACAATGCTGGAATTCTTGGTGAGCGAATTCAAGAAGGCAGAGAGGATTGATCTATCAAAAGACAAGCTTGCCCTGCAAAGGCTGCGAGAAGCTGCTGAAAAGGCAAAGATAGAACTCTCTTCAACATCTCAGACTGAAATCAACTTGCCATTCATAACTGCAGATGCCTCTGGAGCAAAGCATTTTAATGTGACTTTGACCAGATCAAAGTTTGAGACTCTTGTATATCACTTGATTGAAAGGACTAAAGCCCCTTGTATAAGCTGTCTGAAGGATGCCGGTGTCTCCACCACAGATATAGATGAAATTCTTCTGGTTGGAGGAATGACCCGTGTCCCTAAGGTACAGCAAGTAGTTGCTGAAATTTTTGGTAAGAGCCCAAGCAAGGGTGTCAATCCTGACGAGGCTGTGGCAATGGGAGCCGCCATTCAGGGTGGTATTCTACGTGGTGATGTGAAGGATCTTCTGTTATTGGATGTAACTCCTCTCTCACTTGGTTTAGAAACTATGGGTGGCATTTTCACCAGGTTAATTAACAGAAATACAACAATTCCAACAAAGAAGTCCCAGGTGAGTTTACTTGCATACGTTTGAATTCTAGTTGTTGCAAGGAAAAGGATAACTGATTGGTAGATCTTTAGAATTAATATTGCCAAAACTTGTTCCATTCAACATCTCCCACCTATGTTTTGGTCGTGGAGATGCATCAACTCACGTTTTGTGTATGGCAATGTAATGGTCATAATTAGGCCCTTGGCTATGCGGGAAATAACCATTGCAGAATATTCCTACCAATGTTAAAACTTTAGATATCTTAGAGTTGCTTAGCCGTTGTTGTACCATGATTAAAATGGTTTATTGCACTTCTCTTTAGATAAAACATGTTTCAGGAGGGACAATTTGATGGTTTGATCAAATTATTCAGCCTATGTTTATTTTGATCTCAGGTCTTCTCCACAGCTGCTGATAACCAAACTCAAGTTGATATTAAAGTGCTTCAAGGGGAGCGCGAATTTGCAGCAGATAACAAACTTCTAGGGGAGTTTAATCTTGAAGGAATTCCACCTGCCCCTAGGGGGAATCCACAAATTGAAGTAACATTTGACATTGATGCCAATGGCATTGTTACAGTTTCAGCTAAAGACAAGACTACTGGGAAAGAACAACAGATAACAATACGTTCATCCGGAGGGCTTTCTGAGGATGAGATTCAAAAGATGGTCAAAGAAGCCGAGCTGCATTCACAGAAGGACCTGGAGAAAAAAGAACTGATTGATCAGAGAAATTCTGCTGAGACAACCATTTATAGCATTGAGAAGAGCTTAACAGAGTTTAGGGATAAGGTTCCAGCTGAGGTGGTGACTCAAATACAATCTGCAGTCTCAGATCTACGGAAAGCAATGGATGGAGAAAATGTTGATGAAATAAAGGCAAAGATGGAAGCTGCAAATAAAGCCGTTTCAAAGATTGGAGAGCATATGGCTGGAGGTAGCGGTGGGAATACCTCTGGAGGGTCTGACCCTCAGGGTGGTGATGAAGCCCAAGAAACAGAATATCAGGAGGTCAGGAAGTGAGTTGGTCTCAAGTTATAACCATGCAATGGCATGCACGTAGCAGGATTATAGAAGGTGAATTTTTTGTTAGTTTACCTAATTGAAGGTAATCAATTTGATGTTGAGTCGTAGTCTTTGCGGCAAGCATGCAAGACATTGGACCTATTGGTTTAGACAATTTGCAGAATTCTTTCGTCTTAAGACTGCTTGTACATCACTGTTGGCATCTGTCACGAAATTTCTTCAATACAATGTTTAAATGGTACTCACTGTGCATTGTTTTTTTTTTTTTTGGTTGATACCCGATACAAGCAGAAAAGCAACAAATCTGGCATGCAATCGTCATTGGCTAACTAATTCCTCAGGTCCGAGGAACGTGATATAGAGATGAGACCAACTTGTTTAAGCTTGGTTCATGTTTGTTTTGCACTTCGCTTAATTTAGGGAGAAAAGTGGTCGAAGCTGAAACGGATGATCGCCAGAAAAGTTGAGAGCTTCTTGAGAAAAGAAGACGGTTAAAGAAGAAAACAGTCTTGTCTGTCTTCCCCCTCGATGATTATCGTGATTGATGCATCACATCAAGCGTAGTCTGTTTTGCTGATGCTGGTGCTAGTCTTTGGACCCCCGCGGGGGTTTTTGGTTTTTTCATCGTGGGTTGTTGGGGTTTGTTTTGTTGGTGGTTTGCTTGCGCAATTGTACTACTGCATTTGCTTGTTCAGTAGTAGTACCACCCACCAGTACAACATACCATGATTGCCCTTTTACAGCTCTTTGCTTCTCCAGTACAATGGTAGATGCCGAAAATGAATTTGGTGACTATTATCACCGTCCACCAAACTTCCTTGTGTTGTTTCGATTATTATATTCTTTCCTCTCTTTTTTTTTTTTGGAGCAAATGAACAAATTATTACCTCTGTTTTTTGTATCTAAGACGGGAAATCTTGTAAGGGATCATGATATCTGAATCATGATCTATGTGTTTATTCACTTGGTTATGAAGTAAAATTAACTACATTGAAAATTTGCTTTTTGATTTGAAAAATGCGATGCGTTGACTTGCGCCTCATATTATCTTGCGGCTTACCTTTTCTTTTCACAAGATCAAGAGGATAGTTGTGG